TCTTTTTTAATTCCCCCCCTTTTTCCCCCCCCCGCCCCCCCTCCGTCTCCATCAGCCTCTTCTCACCACTGAATATCCTGTTATTCATAACGCAGCAGCAACAGTGGACACAACGGCGCCGTTCTCCCGGTCTATCAGCCCTGATTCTGTGTGTTCAGCACTTTCAGTTCTGGAGTTCACAGTGATGCGAAGACAACGACGCCACTTCCATGTTCCTGTATCTGTAATAAAAATGGCGTCGGCTCACGGAATAAAACCTAAGGCATGAGGTTGCCTGTTTAAAAGCCGGGGAATAACGATAACGATACGGGTCGGATTCCTCTCAGCTACTGGCTTGGAACAGATATTTGGCACCAGATTAGCCTGATCATTCTGATTGGCCGCCTTGGTGAAAGGCCATGTTTCACACCTGAGGATGCGAGTCTTAGTGGGGGGGGGCAGGGGGGACGGAGTTCAAGGTCTGTTGGTGAAACAGTAGAAAATGTGTCTCCAGGAAAAACGGCTCAGGCATCAGGCGTCTTTGTTTACCGTGAAAATGAGCCGCGCTAGCGCCCGACATTAGCCCCGCCCTGATAGTATCGCAAACAGATGTGTGAGTCAGCGTCAGCTCCGTCCGTCACACTGTCACAGAACACAGCAGTGAGGCCGAGATGTAGCCCTGGGCTGTTTCTGGGTTTAAAATAGTAGAGAGCTCCGTTAATCCAACGATTCAGTTCACTCTGCTCTAACACACACAGTTTATACACACGACGGCAGTTACTATGGGTGTGTGTTGGTAAGAATCTACGATACGATACGTCTCACGATACGTCTCACGATACTGGGGCAACGATACGATATACTGTGATGTACTGCATACGTCTCACGATACGTCTCACGATACAGGGGCAACGATACTGTACGGATATAGGTGAAAACAGTGTAGCTGTAGTCAGAGTGTGATCCTAGTCTCAGACTCTGTTCCATCTGAACATCAGTTCCTAACTCTGGAACAGAGGGATCTACATTTGGAATCACTAGAGAAGAAAGAAAAGAACAAGAACATGAACCAACACCAGGAATATTGGACTGGGAATTGGTGAGAAAAAAAATCAGTAACTGATCAATGACTGAGGAGATTGATCAACTGACTAATTGTGAGGGACTGTAGACAGATTAATGCTGTTGAAGACCAGGGACACTCGTGTACCAGTATCTACACTGGTGCGACTTATACTTCGGAAAATGCTGTAAATTGTTTTGCTTGGTGGCAAACAAAAACTGGTCGGAATTAATTTTTTTAATTGTGATTAAGCATGATTAATCTACAGCCCTTTAATAACAACATTCAAAAACTTTTAATCATTTGACAGCCCTAATATTTATATACAGTATTTTATTATCTATGGTTTCATTTTGTACAGATGTTGGGTTTTATAAAAGAATTCCAGGCCCTTTTTGAATTGTTGTTTTTGGCTAAACAAGAAAGATTGACTGGCTGCTGCTCTGACCTCTGACCTCAGGAGGTGCCTGTAGAGAGGGTTGGAACTTTTCTTTTTTTTCTTTTCTTTTTTTTTAAGAAATGTTGCTGTGCCATATCTGGCAGATCTGAAGCTGATGAAAGATGTCTTTGTGTCCCCGTGTGAACTGCTGATGTCAGAAGGTTTCAGAGAGAGAGAGAGAGAGAGAGAGAGAGAGAGAGATAATAGGAGGGAACGAAGGAAGGGAAGTGTGAGGTGAAAAGAGGAAGTGAACGGAGATAAGGCTGAATCAGCCTCGTTGATGGAGGAAAGTGGAGGCGCGTTCACTGACGCAGCAGTGTTTACTTCTAAAAAAACAAGTCTCACATGTGAAACACAAACACTTTATATATATACTGTATATGTATGTATATATATGTATATATGTGTATATATGTGTATATATGTATATATGT